TTGCGGTTTATCCAATCATCGAGGTGTTTCCTACGACTTCGAGAGAGTTTATTGGTGAGTGATACACACAATTACATTGATTGACGAGGTCTAGTATCAATGAAAGCAAATCGAGAGAATTTTAAAACTCAACGTAAAGGCTCTTAGCAACCAAATAAGAATAAATCCCACGGTTTGGCTCTTTTCAACGATTTATGTTGGTAGAAAGTCGCGTATCCATCTTCAGCCTAGTGTCCGTAGGAGCCCCCCCCCATCGTTTGTAGTTGTTAGTTACCCGTGATTTTTAGTAGTAGCCCCCTGGCTCAGGTCTGTTTTAATTCGAAGGTCCTTTAATTTTGAAAAATCTTTCATTTAAGTAGGTTACATTGTATTTTGATTAATTGGTTAAGTGAGGAAAACTTTTATCTAACGATAAAACCAAAATAAGCTATATTAAACCAATAAATGTTATCACTTATATAGGTTATATTCAACATTTGTTTGTTTCTTTGCAATGACAGCTGAAAAGGTGAATCATATGCAGTGTTATTTGGGAGTGCACCACCCAGATGTGTTAGATCTTGGCAATGGACACTTGCTTTGAGAACGAAGAATATTAATGCTTTAACTGTACTGTACTTATTTGCACACCCTGTTTTTACACATTACACTTTTTTGATTAATCGTCTTTTCTTGTTAGTTGCACAGAGGAAAACTACTTTGCTTGTGTGTGTGCGCGGACCAGTGGTTTGGAGTGCCCTGCATTTTTAGAGAAAGTGGGTGAGGTAGCTGAAACGGGGTAGTGTGGCTCAAAGCATGGGTATCTGTCATCGGAAGGTTGCCTGTTCAAATCCCAGGATCAGCAGAGTGATTTCATTGTTGGGCCCTTGAGTGAGACTCTTAATCCCCAATTGCTCTAGGGACTGTCTGACTCTGCTTTCTTGAAAAATGTACATGGCTTTGGATAAAAGCATCTGGTAAATAAATAACCTGTAATGAAAGAGTACCACCCGCAGACTCTGTGGCCCTATTGAGAGACTGCCCTCCTGGATTTAAACCCAAATGATGAAATATTGCTGACTTCCATTTAAGCCACAGATGGCCTAAAACAAGCACCTTGTTTGAATACAAGGATACCAATTAGTGTACATGGCCCCACTGTGCTATGGGTCAATGATTGACTTTGTGCTTGTGTCTGCACTGCACATCTGACTTCAGGCCATGTATTTTGGACTCTTGGGTTAATAGAGAGGTAAAGCAATCAATCACTTACTGCTTGAAGGTCAGATAGATCAGGACAACCCAAATAGACAGTTAAGGTCTGCTGGGAATGTCTGGCTGAAACTTCTGTGTGCGATGAAGTCAGGGTAGTCACTGAGGCAAATGCCCCTAAATGGGAGAGGTGTAGATAGGCCATGGAGAGAGACTATCCGTTGAGCCCAAACAATCATCCATCCATCCTCTAACCTTGGTCCTATTTAGGGTCATGGAGGGTCCAGAGCCTATACCGGAGATGACGGACATAAGGCAGGGAACAACCCAGGGTGGGGCGGCCCCAATACATGCTTTGGCAAATCATTCAACACCTTAGAAGGGAGAGGTGATGTTGTCAAGTGTGTTGAAAAAACAGAGGAACTCGCCAATGTGGTGCATATGCCCCCCCCCAGGAGGCAGTGTTGGAATCTTTTGGTAGATCAGGTGGATGACTTTGCAGTGGCACCTACAGAAAAGTTTGAGTGGGGTAGCAATCAGGGACCCGCTTTATTTTTGGGTGCGGCAACAACGCATCATGTGTATTATATGGCTCCACACTGAAAAAAACTAATGCATATTTTGTTTTTATTATTTTGATGTGGGGTGGCAACATATTTACTTGGGTCATGCCTCCCCCCTAGATCTGTCCTTGGATTTAAGCTGAACTTGCTATAGCGGTCAGAGTCATTAGTAATGGAAAGCCTGCATGGCTACATGAAACCTGCGCAGAGATGTTGAAAGCGCTGGATGTTTTTGGGATGATGTGGTTGATGTGCTTCTTCGGTGTGATATTTATGGTGGGTAAAGTATCTCCTGACTGCAGGTCCCCATTTTTAAAAAGCAGCCTCAGAGTGTATGTGCCAACTATAGGGTGATCACATTTCTCAGCTTGCCAGGCTACAAGAGAGGAGCCCGGTGGTCAGACTTAAGATTCAGGAGGAATAATGTGGATTCATTCCAGTCTGGCTGTGGAATCCACTTTTGTGGGCAGGAGCACCAATAGAGTATATGAAAGAGTATTATATTGGGCCCCCAATCCACACCCATCTAATTATTTTCTGCATTTTTGGGGGGCCCTTACAATCATCCTAACACCCCCTGCTTTACAGCTCCCCTGTTTGTAGGAATATGCTAACAGTTCAGATGTGCTTTGTGGAAAAAGTTAATGATGGCATGCTCAGGCACATACTCTGAGAGGTGCTGCAGGAATATGGAGTACCAGGTCCTCTATCAAGAACAATTCAATCTCTGAATGTAGCAAGAACTGTGTCCGCCTACTTGGCAAAAAAATTTAAACTGTTTAAAGCTGTCCTTCTGCATAATGTCCTAAATACACTTACTCATGTCTATGGAATGTGTGTGATATGTATATTGTTGCAGATGTGATTTATCTGCCTACCTTCTGAGTTCACATTTCTTCCATTCTTACATCTTCAAATAAACCTGCAGCGTGTCTTTTGCAACATGCCCAGGTTTACCAATCTTCTAAAGCCAATACTCTTACATCATAAAATTTACTAACTAACAGGCATTTGTGATGCTTTCTGAAACAATGAGAACAGTAAAAGTTTGGATAACTAACACTTGTGATAGTGGACAAGTTTATTGTGGACTACCATCTCAGAATAATATTTTTATATACAAGCTGCAAGTCAAATTTTTTCCCTCAGTGCACCCTTCCAAATACTGCTTCTGTTGAACAAAGTTTAACAATATCCAGAAAAGATGCAATACAAAATGCAACAGTTTTGTTTGCTAAATCAAGAACAATGATACATCAACATCTGTAACAATATATTTAATGTCATCCATCTATGCTTTATTTTCCATAATCACCTCTCCTGCATAGTGTCACGGTGAGCCTTGAGCCTATTCAAAGAAGGGCAGGATACAAGGGAAAGGACGCCTTGGATTGGGTTCCAGTCCATCACAGGACACATTCACACACTATGTGTGTTAATATATGAGTGATCAAAACTTAGTAGCACAGTCATGTGCTGTGAACAGCTATCACTATGGAATACCTTTGATACTCCTTTCACATTTTCCGTGGATTTGACGCAATTGCTTAAAAATGGTGCAGCCCCCTGCACTGCCCACCCTACGCCCATCATTTGACACACGAGTAGGCCTGCATGTCGTAGCACCGTCTTTTTACTGTCTGCATCCCTCCTACGCTCCCGGACATGTGGTTTTCTATTTCTACTTCTTCCGGATACCGCGCTAATGGGTTCCTTGAGGAATAGTTGCTGTCAGTGGGTGGCTGAGAGATGAGCGGGAGCTGATACAGGGATTGGGGATCAGCAGTCCCCATCTGGGGGTGGGAACATGTGCGTCAATCACCAAGGGGGAGAGGAAACCAGGGGAGTGAAGTGTCATATGGAACATTTAACACAGAAATGGCAAACACATTAATTTCTGTAATATGTCCATTACCGTCTTTGATTCTCAGATGTACTAAATAGATCCTACGCTTGAAATTAAAATTTTAAGGCACTCACCCGTGAGTTAAGAGGTGTAGCTTTAGATTATCAGTTCATACTTGTTTTTACTAAATTCCATTTTTAAAGGCAGATTCCCTTTCCTGGGGGACAATACAAAGAAGTGAATGATGATGATGATGATTATAGCCTAACTTAATTACAGCTTAGTTACGTTCATAGTGTTTGTGTGAGGAACTGCAGTGTTGTGTCAAAACATACTGAATTGTCCAAGAAGGCCTTGCTCGATGGGAATGTTGCAGACGAATCGCAGCAGCAGAGAGGGGATTTTCAGTCTGGTTCTTTGAAACACAAACAAAAACATGTTGACTCATTGATGGTTTGCAGCGATTCTCTAACAGAGTACAGCAAATCCATAGTAAGGCAGGGCTGCCTTTAAATTGATTTAAAACGCAATCTGGCAAGTTCTGAGTTATATAGCAGCGGAATCCCCGTATCAGTGGGACACAGCGTCACGCATCGAATCTATCAAACGCAATCGGAAGCAGCCCACGCACCTCTCATTGGCAGGCTTGCGCTGCCAAGCGCTCAGACTTACAGTTGGCTAGTATATTTCAGTTTTTTTTAAAGAAATATTTATCTGTTGGGAGTATCATTTTTAAGTCTTTTACATTTATTTAAATACTATAATCATTTAAACGCATACTAGCGCGTTTAAATGGATGGGTTTCATAGGTTTGATTTGCTATTTACTATTTTTCATTAAATGATCCTTTTTTTCTTCACATTGCATGTTTACTGCTATCGAATTTAAGAAGCGGCTTGGTGCTTTGAAAAATGAGTGTGCAGGTCACAGCTTTCACTGGGTCTGTGAAGGCATTTAAAAAAAAAAAACGTGTACAAAGTATTTTATATACGTTTGGAAAAAAATAATTTGAAATCAAATTTACATGATGAGAGCAGCATCCTGATTACTTGTACTATGTTTACCACAAATTTGTTGCTGTGGTTTTTTATTTATTTATGCATTTATTTTGTCCTCGCCACCTTTTTCAGAATAAGACGTTGGAAGATGGTTGGATGGATGGATGGATGGATGGATGATGGATTGATGGGTGGATGGATGGATATTTATTTCATACATCAGAGGTGGGATCGCGAAACTCGACAAGTCCATTTTTACTGTAAATGTTAAACAGTAAAGGTTAACGAACTGGTTATATTATAATAACCAATGCAGCCTTGTAGTCCCGCCCCCTCCCCCGATCACCCCCACTCTATAGCCGCCTCTACCCGGGAGAGGAAAGCTCTTTTTCGGTCAGATGGCGTGCTGCAATCCGCCCCCGGGTCTCCCGCACCCACGCACACATAGAGCAAAAGACTATCATTAACAATGCGGTCCTCCGAGGGAGAGCAGTAGCCAGGGACAACAGGCAACTAATAACAACCCAGAGACAGAAAACAAGCAAAACAAACAAAAATTATTACAATATAAAAAGAATTATTTTATAATTTTGCAGTTGCCGAAACCAAACAGCAGTCCGGGAAAGATACGAAGATTAATCGAAAGTTTCTTTAAGTTCTTTTGCCAGTTAAACACCTGGTTACTGATTTCTACGGTGAGAAAGGGTGCAAGGAGCAGTAGCCTGTTACTACAGGGATGTATATACCAGCTAGTCAACTAACTGGATGTATTGGAAGTAAGCAAACTCCATACCCACTGGGATTCCCTTGAATTTTCGTCTTTTTTATTGTTTGCTACTCGTCGCATCGTTTGCGTCCAGTTTCAGCGAAACTACCCCGGCTGTCCTGCCAGCTGGATACCGCTTCTTAGCAGACGACTCGGATCTTCAGTTAATTTCTGCTCAAGGAACCGTAGCCGGTCCACCGAGGTGAGAATTAAAATGCTTTTGGTTATATTTTCGCGATTGATACGTTGTGGATAGTTTATTATTGTCATAGAACCTAAAGTCGAGCTTCATTCTGCTGCTGGAATGGCCAACCTTGTTACTACAGTAAGGAAAATACATTTAATCCCCAAATAAATCTGGGTTGCATTTACTTAATCCAGATGTGCACGGGCTATAAATCGGAAGCGGTTTATGATTATGACCAGCTGCGTGGCAGTGTGAAACCGGTCTGCTTCCTATTACTGTCTTATCAGGCGCGTGAACACAGATTGTATGACTTACCAGTAAATAAATACATTTACAAACAAAAAACTAAATGGATGAATAAATAAATAGTTGGTCAGTATCGGAGTGGCATTAAATGACATCTGGCTAAAATATATTCAAAACATTGACGCACAATAAGTACCACTGAAAACTTGATAACTTTGTCCTGATAGGCTCGTTCAGCCTCTTCCAATATAAAATCTAAGAGCCGTGGGTCCCTGCATCTCTCACATTAAATATAAGCCATATTTCCCTTTCATTCTGGCCAGCCTACTCAGCTCCAGTACTTACATTTGCCTAACTATATAGCTACAATGAATTCTCAAATGAGTCCGTATACTCGAATCAGGCACACGCTTCGCTAGCGCATGATGTTCAAAGTGAGGTTTCGTAAAAGTGCGTCCACCGTGTTTCGTCGGATGTTCTGATTGTTTTCAGCAAGGGAATGTGACATTTGTTCCAAAGTAGTTTTCCAGCAAAAATGCTGTCAATTTCTCATAAATTATATTTAAGTTATTTTGAAGAGTTTGATCTAAATCCAATATTAGCTTGTCCTTTTTACGAATTTTGTAGGATTTTCCTGTAGAGTGGTTGGGTTGGCTAATCACCGAGATACCAAAACTGGGGGTGGGGGTGATATACAAAGAACTTTTTCTCATATGTTTCCTACAACAGATTTCTTTTAAAACTGTGCATAACTTGCATTGTCTTCCTGTGATATTTCTGCAATGGTAAATAATTTGCTCTCCTGTGAGCAACTGATGCCAATACTTTGCCTGCATCTTCAGTAGGTCATAGAGGTACAATTGTATGCAATGGCACTGCCTTAGTTATTTTTGATTACTTTTATGGGGAGTGAAGTTAGCACATCTGTGAAGTACTATTCCAGTACTACCCCTCCGTTTCAGGTCACCATGTCCCTTCCCCGCACACTGGGAGAGCTGCAGTTATACCGAGTGCTTCAGCGCGCCAACCTCCTGGCCTACTACGACACTTTCATCCAGCAGGGTGGCGACGATGTCCAGCAGCTGTGCGAGGCCGGGGAGGAGGAGTTCTTGGAGATCATGGCACTGGTGGGCATGGCCACGAAGCCACTGCACGTGAGACGCCTACAGAAGGCCCTGCGTGACTGGGCTGCCAACCCAACGGTCTTCAACCAGCCCCTGGCCAGCGTGCCGTTGAACAGCATCCCGCTGTTTAAGATTGAAGCCACAGGTGGGGTGGCAGGTGTGACTGGGAAGTCTCTGAGCAATGGCCAGCCGGGATCTCCCTGTGAGAGGGAGGAGCGAGCTTCCCTGACTCCGCTGCACAGTTGCAGCCCGAAGAGCCCCTGTTCCCAAGCCTCCCCACAGCCTCAGGATGGCATCTACCGGGACAAGCTGTCACCCATGGACCCTCACTGGCTAAGCCCCGATCCGGAAAAGAATGGCGCCGGAGGGTCGGGGGTGGATGATGACCAGCCCAGCCCGCCCCTCCCCCCACCGGCCACCTCTGCTTCCTCTTCGACGTCCATCTCCGCCTGGCCCGGTGGCCAGCTGGACACAGAGACGGCACGGGCGGTAGCTGAGAGCGTGGACAGGCTGTTGCGTACCGTGCCCAAGGCCGACCCGGGGGAGGTGAGGGCTCTGCTCAAGCTGAATAAGAAGCTTGCAAAGACCGTCGGCCACATCTACAAGCTGGAGCCGCACGATCCCGCCAAGGAGGAAGAGATTCGCAAATACAGCCTCATCTATGGGCGCTTTGACTCCAAGCGCAGAGAGGGCAAGCAGCTCACGCACCATGAGGTACAGGCTTAGGAAAGAAAATCAAATGCATGGGACATATAAGGAATCTCCATTCAGGAGTTCATTTGCACTCTATTTATTGTGTAGTGAGGGAGAACCTTTCAATACTGCAGTCAATGACGAACATGCTCATTCAAGACTTTGGTGTCTTTTTGTGGATGCTTAAGCGACAAAAGTGTGTGTTTAATATCATACACCATGGTGTTGGCATGCAGATGATCATCAACGAGGCTGCGGCCCAGTTCTGCATCCGTGACAACGCCTTGCTGCTGAGACGCGTCGAGCTCTTCTCATTGGCCAGGCAGGTGGCCCGGGAGTGCGCCTACACCTCCACACTCAAGAATGCCAGGTGAGTCTGGCGTCGCACGGCGCAGCTCTGTCTCGCTGTCAGATCTCATAGGTGGTATCAGTCCTTTTAACTGCTCTTCTAATCCTCCCACGTGTGGGGAGGACATCTGAGATGAATATGAATTTCTAAACCATGTAGTCGTCTAAGAAACATCAGTAGAAACACTTCAAATCTGGGTGTGCCCAGTGGGAGTGGTCTTTAGAGGCAGTGGTGAAAACAAAGAAATCAGGACACTTCAATTTATTTATATACCGGAGTGTTCCCAAACATAGCTGCCCCAAAGCAGACCTAACACAAACACTGGTGTTTTTCTGCCTGCTGGTGCCATTTGAAATTCACTATTAGAGTGAGTCCTAGGCTGGTTTTTTGTCATTGCATGTCTATAATGATGAGGCAGGCTTGGGCAACACACACGCACAGTATACAGGCAGTCCTCAAGTCCTCAGTCGAATTTGTAGGTAAGTCATAAAGAAAATATTAACATCAACAATCATACAGTAATAAGAAAAATAACTACATATGGTACTGTACCTCGAGCCGATGAACCACGGAAGCTGTGCAATGTTTTCACAAACATCACAAAGTTGTGTGTGCATTCATTACTATGAACCATTGTATTTAACCCAATTTTTTTCCTAATATGCCTTATGGCAGGCCGTTCGTAAGTACCGGTTGTCTGTATATCACACGTTTTTAACCGGGGGACTGCCTGTACGGGTAAAAGGGGTGGTGGATAAACGCAGAAGATCAGCTAACATCGTGCATCACACTTGTGTATCCAGGGCTAAAACTCAGCCCTACATTCTGACTCTAGAAACAGACGGGAGCACAGCATATCTCTGTACCAGTGTATAGCTGTCTTATTGTAAAAAATGGATAACATGGAAACTCAACCAAAAATCTGTGGTTATGCATGACTATCGGAAGCCACACCATCCCATGTGCGCTGACACGGTCTTGCAGTTTCATGTCTGCATTGAAATGCTGAGGTTATTAAAATATGAGCTGTACTCACTGGTAGGTGTCCTGTTGATGTATGCATTTCTGCCGGCGACCCTGACATTCCCTGTTTGGTTTTTCAAGGACGAACACTGATGATGGAGCACTGCTACCACCAAAGAGGATCAAGCAAGAGGTACACTCCGTCGATATTTGTCTTGCTACAGCTAACAGATTTTCGTCTGCATGATAAACGAGTAAAAAGTAAATTTGTTTTCAGACTCTTACGCTCACCTCACCTAACCAATTGAACATAAGGAAGAGCTTCCTAGTTATGTGGACTACAGTGAAGATTTAAGGGAATTTTAATAACAACAAATATCCATAAAAGAGAAACTTACATCCATAATTCTCTGTAATTATTCTAATGATGGTGCTCAGTCATGGAATTTCTTCAAAAGTTTATAAATACCTGTTCCAAGGTACCACAGCAGGTTTCCTTCAGGGACGTAAACCCCCACCCTCCATATTACTAATTGGTGTGCTTAATTAGTCCGCTGCATCGTCCCAAGAATGAGTTCTTGGTTTTACAAGAACTCACGAGAAACGGTATCCAAAAACTGCAGCAGTACTCAATCGAAAGAATTACAGAAAATAGAAGGTATTTTGGAATTAAAGTTTTTTGTTTTGTTTCATTTTGTTTTATATACAATACAGGATTTGTGACACATTAACCAAACCACCAACAGTCATATGTGAATTACTTGTTGGTCTCTGTGACAGGTGGTGGTTTCAGAGTGTGTCTCCTCCTCTCATGACATTTCCGAGGGCTCTGCGGCCGGCTCCGACAGCGGGCACCAGGAGGTGCTGAGGTCAGGGCCTGATGATGACAGCCTCTCGGGAGAAAGTGTGGATGGCATGCCGCAAGGTGAGGTTTGGGTCACACAAAGTTTCTGTCATGACCATCGCACTGTTACTCTTGGGACCTTCAACAATGTTTTTTTCATTTTGGATTTCCAAGTCACATGGCAGTTACCATGTCAGTTATAATTAACGAGTTTGATCAGCCATTTACAGTTCAACTGCATTACCATGGGCTACTACTTAGTCAACCTGTTAGGATAATTGGATTTATAATCTGGATATGGTTGTCCTCCATTATAAAACCCATGAAAATCATGACAGTTTATTACTATGCAGTTTCATTGTATATTATTCAAAACATTTCAGATTTTTGAGATCGGAGGCTTGCAGAAATTGTTCAATATAAAATGTTTATGATAGTAACAATGATATTCGTAAAAAATGGCAAAAGATCTGGCTGAACAGCGACATCCTATGTTGGATCTGAAAACCCGCCTCGGTCAGACTGCAGATCCACCGCAGCTGTAGAGAATTGGTTTGACAGTCACAGCGATAATTCTAATTAAAATCGTAATTAGGCTCAGGCATGCGAGACCGCCTTAACGTTATTACAGAGGCTTAGAGGGGCGCCTGTTATTTCTTAATCTGACAGAGGCAGCTTTGATGACTCTGTGTATATTCTTGTGGGTCTTACTCGTGGGCCGGTTCCCATCAGGCCTGGGCTCATCGCCCTGCCCCAACATCGATGGCGGCGCCCCACCCACGTGGAGCCGCAACCTCATGCAGCAGACGCTGATGGACGAAGGCCTACGGCTGGCCAGGATGGTGTCGCACGGCCACGGGGGCAAGGTCAGCCCATTGACTCAGATGGCAGGTGAAACGATACGTTAATAACACCATGCCAGCCCGTTGATTTTGTTGTTGACATTCTTGCGTCATCTGGCAACAATCGTCACGGTAATGCGGACGCCACGTTTGTTTGACCTGGATTATATTGGATGCAGATTCATGTTTTGATGGTCTGGCGGAGGCTTTAAGGAGGAAGCACAATGTCCTTTTTTGGCGTTTAGAGATTTCGCTGAGCTATGAAAGGCGTGCTTTCCTTCTTTGCCGTCAGCGTGAGCTAATTCAGAGCCGCCACCTGGGATGTTGAGAGAAAGGAAGTGAGGTGGGTGGGCGGGTGCGGATCTGGGGGGGGGGGGGGGGGGGTCGAGGGGGGCTGCCGAGGGGGCATGAAATTGGAACCCCCCCACCCCCTCTTTACGTCAGAGTGTGTTTGAGAGCAACGCGTGATGAGGAGTGGGCGGCCGCAGATGGGCGGGGGGAGGGGATGGCTGAGTGGGAAGTGGTAGGAGGGGAAGAGCACTGACTCAGAGGAGTGAAAATAACAACAGTGGGCAGAGAGCTGCTGCTATTTCATTTTTTTTTTTTTGCTTTTTGCATAAAAAAACAGGGACAGGAAAGGCTTTCATTTCAATGTGACGTTCTTAGCCTCTAACTCCCCCTTCAACTTTTTCTATGGCCGTTTAATGTTCTCCACCAGCCAATCACCCACTTAAGGCTTCAACACTAGTATCCTCCAACCGTTCAGTGATTTGAGAAAACTCAGAGAATCAGAAAGATCTTCGTGGTCTGAGTGTGTTAAACAAATTAGAAATTTGCCTTGGGCTTGCAAGACAATTCAAGACAAAATATGTACACATGAATTTTTACACATACTTTTTACACTAGACTTTGTACCTACAGTCAGAATAAACATAAGATAAATGAAAGAAATGGCTGAAGTAGGAAATATGCCATTGTGGTATCCCCATCAAGATTATCCTTGTCATGATTACCTGTGGTATCCCCGTCAAGAGTTCCTACTTTTTTTCGCAGAGGCTGAAGACAAGATATGCGACAAGAAGAGCTCCGCCAAGCCCCGCAGACGCAGCAGCTCTTGCAGCACCAAAGACGACTCCGACCACAGTGGAAAATAAAAAGTCCGCTGCCCATATTCATTGCCAGGTCTTAGCTTCACCCCCCCTGCCCAGCCATCCATACCCTCTACCCCGAATCCCCTCCCTTCCAGCAATAAGATCTCTAGCCCTGTCAAAGCCAACAAGCATCCCAGTCTACCATAGGGACAGGAGCCTGCAGAAATCCCACTCAGGCCTGGGCTGAGCTGAGATCGCCTCATCTAGCTTCTTTTAATTATGTTCCACCTTTGGTGCTACTCCTTTGTTTCCGTTCTCTTTGATGTGTGTCACTGAAAATGTAACAGAATGATTACAGCAGAGGGATTTTAATTTTGGGAAATGTTACAGGGCTGGGAAGATCTGGGATTATTTTGGCATTTTTAACCTACAGCCTAAGACCTATTTCGGACATCATGTTTTTAATTTTTTGGACAATGTAGGCCTTATGCAACTAATCTTGTGTGCGTATTATTGTAGTTGTAGTCCACTTGGCAAGCCGCTGGCCTGCTCTTTAGATATTATGTAGATGGACCACACTTCATCAGACTCTTAATCTTGATCTCTTAGCTGTTATATGGTTTTCTTCCATTGTATTATCCTGCATTAGGTAGAGATTTGAGGGGCAAGTCCCTCAAATTGGATGTTGTTTCTGGTCATTTGAAACTAGTAATTGTGTTTCGCAAAAAAAAGCAACAAAAACCCTGTAATCCTGATAATATTGTAGTATGAGTTTAAGAAAGGAAAAAACAGACATAAAGCCCCCCATCACGCTGATGACGGGCATATGTGGGTGGAAAAGTGGTGTCAAGCTGTCAGACCAAAGGAACTAAGGGGGTCTTTTTGAAAATTTTCCATCCCCATGTTCAGCACTGGAACTAATAGTTTCCTTTAAAGGATGAGATGTAGGTTAAACACCTGTGATTATGGTTATTAATACACTTCACCTATTGTGTTACGAGCACGGCCGCTCGCTGGAACCAGAACGGAGGGGGACATGGAAACGCTAAAGCCGCTTTGATTGATAGCGCATGAGTAGAAAGACACGCCCACACATTCTCTCAGGTTCTTTGTTTGTAAATTAGTGTCGAACTGAACACTACGGTGTTGGGTGCGTGCTTTGGGACAAGGTCAATTTGTGTCAGGATACCAGACCCAAACCATTCAATGTGTGTTACTGTTACACGTGTAGCAACCAAGCTCAGGGGGACAGAGACGGAGGGAGCTTGGTTCTGTAAAATTTGCTCTACATCCTCTATGGATCTCCTGCCATAGTAGCTACAGTAATTGTAATTGAGTTAATGTAACATGTAATGGCTAACGGGGAAACTCCATACAGACGCACAGAAATTGAAGCCTAAGATAATGGCGACAGATTATGGGAGACCTGCCCTCAGAACCAGACATGTATGATTAATGTTATTGTCCTAAAGTTATACCCTCTTCCTCACAAGTATTAACCAACCTCTTGCTTTTATTATGTTGTACAGTAGATTATTTATTTTGTTAATTTTCAATAAAGGTTTATTTTATTGTTTATTCAAGCGTTATGTCTTTCATATATATTTATATAAACATGCCCTGGACACCGTATCTTAAAATCCTGTCCGTAATTCACACATACACAAAAGCAAATGTTGGGCGCAGTTCAGCAAAACAAGCTTCACGTTAAATCATATCGCTTTTGCTTATCACTTCCAGATTTTGTTATTAGTAGTTTGCTTCTGATACTGTGCATCCTGGCCAAATTACAACCGGAAGAGTCCTAATCAGCCCCCTCCTGAAGGCGGGGGTGGTCCTTTCGTCAGTTCTGCGCCGGTAATCCCTGAGAGAGTGAGCCTGTGCTGCGGTGAGTCACCCCCTCTGATGTCACCAGCGCTCTCACCCCTGGGCCACACAGACCTTCACAGCCTGTAGGCTAAATATAGAGGATGCTGCCTCACGGGCCCAGACAGAGCAGGGGGAGCTGGCGACGGAGTGGACGCGTTTACCAGCTTCAAAAGAGTAAAAGATCCTGGCACGGCGCTGCTGGACTCGGAGCAGAGCGGCACTCGCTGATACGACTGTGTATCGCCGTGACGTACCAGCTCCTACTGGTCCAAACCTGGCCTCCCAGTCTCGTATCTCCCATAAGCTACATCAACATTTCAGCCTCTATATTTCTTCCTCGTTAGTAGACCTCCCCTCCCATTTCAATGGACTCTCTAGCTATAATAGGGTTTCCAGGATTTCTCTGGCAGGAATGAGTTAATTGTGTGTTATATGGTCTTTCTGAGAGGAAGGAGAGTGGGCAGGAGGAATGAGCGTCTTCATGCCCATTAGGAGCAGAGGTCTGTAGCGGTAATGGAAGTATCTGTTTCTGTGCTGTGTGGCCATGGCGTCATGGTCATGAACCTAGTTCTTTGGGGAAAAATGTGCAGAAGTTTCTGCATTCTGTTAATCTGACATTTTTCTCCTGCAAAGGCATAATTTCAATAGCTTGACTGCAGCAGGTAAATATGTGACCGTGACTCAATTGACTGTTATTTTGTCATTCATCATGCACTTTTGATGATGAAATGGTGCTTTATTCGGCATTTGCACAAGTATGAGTACAGGTACATTGGAATGCATCTCTTCGCATATACAATCGTGCTCTTCTTTTAGAGCACAGGGTCAGGTCTTTTACCCAGCAGCCCTGGAGCATTTTGGGGGATTAAAGGCCTTGTTCAGGGGCCCAATGGACATGTGACTATTTTATTCAAAGTTGAATTCCATTTTTGTGTAATACAGCAGGATCTTCTCTGAAACATTTTGATAATTTCTGCGATGCAACCCAGCATCTTTTACGCTATGTGTCAAAGTCACTTCCCATATCCGGCCATCTGTCGCATATCCATCAATCCACTGTCCGCCACTTATCTGGACTGAGTCGCTAGGGCAGCCGCCTGATCTCACTTTTTATTGATCAATTGCCCATTTATATTATGCTCATTGGTAGGAGGGTTTACTTAATTGCTAAGTTAGCGATTGTTAATATTATTCAAGAAAGAAAAAATCCTGAGAATGCCTGATTGCATGCTTTCACCTTTTATACCTAATAGCTGGCTCATTATTTGCTTAATATGAAGAACAACAGGTCACATGTCTATAGCAGAGTTTGGTGCTGAACATAAATGATTAAGGGTGGTCATGGTGCAAAGCATGAGTTTTAGGTGATGTCTTTGAAACAAATTACATACCAATATTTTGAGTTTTGTATTTGGCACCAATAGTAATATTGTGCTTCTCAAGGTTTCCCTTGTGTCTTAGGAACTACAAAGATTGTATTGGATTCTGACAAAGAAATACCAAATGTGTTTCATTTACCTTTGGGTGTATTGTTTGTAACATAGAGTTAGGTCTCCAATAGCAAATCTTTTATTACTCAGCATGACTCATGCTGCATGATAAAGCCTTCAGCCTGCTTATCTCATAAACAGGAAGAACACTCATTCATGCTCTGGAAAGACATATATGAACATCACACATTAGTATTTTCTTTCAGGCAATTAAATGGCATTCAAACAGCCTTTATTCCAGTACAGAAAGACTGGCTGTAATTTATCGAGGTGACCACTAGGAAGCAATGCTGCTGTGCGTTTGTCCCGTACAATCTATTTATTGAACTGGTATGATGAAGGATTCCTCACCCTGTTGAAATCTGATGGATATTTTGATCAAAATGCAATTTATATCACGAACATGGTATTTAAAAAGATAGACTGATCAAGGTACCATAAGGTCGATGGCACTAACAGAAGGACTACAGGGTTTTATCATTAAGATCGGTGTTTTCCCATCCAGTCCTCGGAGACCCACAGTTGGTCCATCTTTTTGCTCCCCCTGAGTTCCCAAAGAGAGCAAAAACGTGGACTGTCTGTGGGTCCCCGAGGACCGGATTTGGAAACACTGACCTAGACTGATCAAGGTGTGAATGCCACCACAAATATCCCAAAACCTCAATCTTTATTTGAAGTTTTCCTGCTCCTGAGACCTGAATAAAGCCCACCGTGAATCCCAAGTGAAATATACAACAAACACTTTTTTTGAGGGAAAATATTCTGCAGTTATATGAAATTAAGAGGGAACATTCTGGTCAGAATATAAAGTAATATGATTTGTGGAAAAACACGACATCTCCGTAGGAAATCATCCACTTCAAAACACAGTGATGGCAGGGGCACCGTCAGACTGTGGATGTTTCTTATTAGCAGGAACTGTCAGGACAAATTTGAAACTTACAGAGATGATTGAAAGGAAAAAACAATATTATTTTCAAGACATAGCTTTTAAGTCAAGATGGTTGATTTTTCCTCACTAAAAGCATGTAGTTTGGGCCAGGGGCAACATAGAGATTTTTGAAGTGGGGGGGAACCAAACAGAGAGCAAACAGTCTCAGTCTTTAAGTCTCAACCTTACTTTATACAGCTATTCTTGATGAGGCATTTGCCACAATTTGGGCTAAAGGTTTAATACACTAAACACTTTGATTGACACTGACCGACATGCCTACACTGTTACTTTGTTGTTTGGTATGGAATTACCAATCACCCACAAATGGCCTATTAGACAATAGCAGAAACAACAAATAGTCTTCTCTACAATGTGTTACAAGTTTAAATTTACTGAGACCCAGATCCGGTTAGGGGAGGAGATTTTCAGTCATTAGGTCGCTGAACAACCCAGTGACCTGCATCTGTCACCAGTGCATTATTAATATCTCACTTTGCACTTCATCAATATTTAATTTACTATTCTGTGGTGTATTTGCATCCTTGTCCCCATTGGGCATATATATTACTAATTGTTTACTCACTTCTTATTGCACTGTATTCTCCTGTATTGCACTATTATTTGTCCTGCACTGTCTTGTCTTGTATTGCACTGCTGTTTGTCCTCCATTGTCTTGTCTTGTATTGCACTGCTGTTTGTCCTGCACTGTCTTGTCTTGTATTGCACTGCTGTTTGTCCTGCACTGTCTTGTCTTGTATTGCACTGCTGTTTGTCCTGCACTGTCTTTTCTTTTATTGCACTGCTGTCTGTCCTCTCCCCCAAAGCACTTGTCCCCAACCTTGCAATGGTGACATAAGAACTTCACCGTGTTCCTCGGACTACATGTAACAGTAAAGCTTGAAACTTTAACTTTTAAATTCCTTTGCAGTATTTGCCATGTTTTGCTACATTGTCCTGCTAGGTCAGCAGCACAAATTCTGTAGTTATCAGGATACTTTGCATTGCACACAACACTTATCTTCAAACAGTATAAATTAATGTGCATTCATGTATTTATGTTAGGAGTACATGTCATAACTGTAATATTTGTCATGGAATGCGTGTGTTTCGCTTGCGTGTAACCGGGAGTGCTGTTTAAAATGTTGGCTTTCCTGTCTGTGTCACTGCTAGAGTTGAGCAGTGTTACCATACAATTCTGTAGTTTTAAATAACAGCCACTGGCCAACCTCAATATATGCCAGGGTGTTACAGCAGCGTCCATGGTTGACGGTTTGAGCCCATTTGTGTGTGTAATGAGAACAGAAGCCCAGAGACCCAGATGCGGAGGACAGGGATTTTATTTAGGAAACCAGCAAAGAGATAATACAGTTGGCAGGCGGAAGTCTTAGTCGTAGTAATGGAAGTGAAGTTAGTGGATGTTATCAGTTCAGAAGTCATGGGAGTCAGTTCAAGTACATGTGGGGTGTCTGAAAGTAGTTGGGAGGGAGGAGCTGGAGAGGTACGGAAGGTAAAGGCACACGCTCAGTAAGTCACATGGAACAAACCATAACTTGCACCAAGAAATAAGGCAGGAAGGTTCAAAGAGGCAAGCAGCAGGGACTAATTTCTTAGTCTCGCTTTTTAGCTTGCATCTCTCTCTCTCTCTCTCTCTCTCTCCCAGGCACAGTATGAAGTTACGCGCTATAAGTGAATCCGCTTCTCTAAACTGGCCCCAGGTTATGACTTTTGTGCTCTGTACTTCCGGGGACAGGCTCCAGTTTTCCATGACCTGCCACTGGATGAGGGTGGATGGATATTTATCTGGGCGGCTCACTCCCAGGTGGCGAGAGTGAACAGGAGCTCCAGTGTGATCAGGGCCACATTTTGCATGCCAGTGCTCTCAAGCTGTTGAAGGGCGATGCTTCAAAATAAAATCTTAACCAGCACAGCTTGAATGGCAGAAAGCTGCCCCCCAGTTACTGGATTTCAATCTCCCATTATAAGGCCTCTATTACTGTAAGTCAGTTAATTTGCCTCACCTCCCACCCCAGGCTTCCCCTGTTATGCCACCCGGTCGCCATCCAGTCCCAGCAAAAATGGAAAATAACAAAAGCAAATAATTACTGTAAATATTTAAATCAGCATTGAGTCCGCAGTACAGGGGCGCTTCCTCCCCACGAATACTGTAGGAACAGATCGGTTCGGTTTTTCTCCGTTTTTCTCCGTTACCTTGCCTGGGCAGTTGCCATCGAGGTTGCGGTAATTGAGATCTCTGTCCAATCTCTGGGTGCAGTCGTGGAGGAGGT